TCTTCGTCCAAATCTAGTAAGTTTCCCTCAAAAGGGCAAACAAATGTTTTGTACAGAGCTTATTAGGACCATAATTTTTTTAACCAAACACCCTGTAGCTCTCTTAAAAACATACTGTGAATCAAACAACAAGAAAGAACCTGATATATGAGGGTTTTTTATTTCCAAATGTCTTCTATATATTTTTCTTTTTCAGGCTTGTCGGGTGCTTCTTCAGCTTCCTCCTCTATGCCGCCGTTCAAATTTCCGGCCCCAATTGATGTCACTTCCGATCACCCCAAAAAAGAAACTCGATTTGTTCCTTATAGGTCACGTGGCAATCCTCCCCCAATTTTTAGTTCCTCTCATAATTATTCAGCTGCAACCAATTTTTCACCCACCCTATTGAATCCAAAGGTCTCACCGTGTCCAAATCAATTTGGAAGATGTGATATTCCTCTTACGTCGTTATCAGGTAAGTCCACTGAAATGATGGGCAGAAACCAGTCATGGCACTCTTCGTATGTCGTAGATACCCATGTGCTTGTTGAAAGGTCAGGATAAAAATTCAGATCAAGAACCGAACGAAGGTAACAGCGCACAAACACCTGGTTTAGCATTCCTTCGTCTTTTGATCATCATAAAGATTTTTTCCTTTATATAATCCTGCTGTTTTTTTAGGATCAGGTGGCTCCACTCCACCGGTCACAGACGCAGCCCCAATTAAAATCCCTCCTGCGTCAAAAACATCGTTATCTGCTAAAGTTACTAACTTTCCTGGTAATACCTCACCCCAAACAACATCTTATCCTCCTTGGGAATCTGGAGTCATCTCAAAATCTGTAAATACCACTAATGAGGTTGTAAATCCAAAGAAGACGTCACCCTCTACTTCATTTCCTTCCAAGAGTTCAGCCGCCGTTTTGTCCATGCCTACTGCGCCGTCCTCGGAAAAGGGTAAAAAAGAACCGTTTTGTATATCGTAGAGACTCATTAACAATTCAGGTAAATTTTTACAACTCGAGTTGAATGAGCTCCTGTCTCCATTGTAAAATGTGCGAGCAAAAACCATATGATAGCAACTGTGAAGTTAGTTCAAAAGTTATCCGTTTTGCAGGATCGCCAGGTCTTTGGATTCCGCTCTGTCTGTTTCCTCCATCAGCACCCATGAATGTCTCTCCTGCTGTCGCTAACCTAAAGTTGCCATCAACTCCCTCTCCGCCTTTCCATAATACTTTAACCTCTACATATATTTCCTCTTTTAACTCCTGCAGGTGTCATAAATTCTGCTGCAGCCGAAAACGTTCAGAATCTAAAGAAGATCACGCCACCTACCTCGTTTCCTTCAAACAGTTCAGCCTCTTTGACGCCTGAACCTGGTGCGTTGTTATCAGAAAAGACTTAAGTATGATTGTTTTACATGTCATGAAGACTGTTACTTTACCCTTCGCGTGAATTATTTTTCCTTAATTTAACTAGAGTTTTGAAACGTTTTAATAATCAAGGTACAAAATATCTCAGTTTCTTTTCTATTTCAAATTAAAGGGAACTAAAAGATATGCCCGTCACCAGAAGGTCATAGGTGTTTAAAATAGTAGTAAGCTCTGCGTTCTAGTTTTCTTAAATTAAGATACCGTTCTTTTAAGTAACACGTGCACAGAAATTTTATGTGGTCCTTGGGTTCTTTGAGCACCGAGATCCCTGCAAAAGTTTGGACTCCACCTTTTTATTCTTATGAAAACAACTTGCATATGTACTTTCACGCATTGCAATATGTTGCAGGATGCTTGAAATAGCTCCCATGGTCAGGAAACCCCAAAGTTTCCATAATTGTGATATTTAAGGGAGCCATAGTTAACTCTATTAGCAGTTGCCAGTAACCGTTATAGAAGAAGACGCGGTAGAATCATAAGGAGAAAGAGTTATGGTGGCATGTTATTTAAACTTACTCCATCTTGTTACCAGGTACTGCTTCGTCAGGCTGTTCATCGGCGTTTCCTGCGTCTCTGCTGAGGGTACAATTTCCTCCACGAGTACCTGTCAATAGTTCCGCGCCTTGTCCTTCTATCCCTCACGAACGTCCTCCATCTTCTTCTAATGGCTCCTTCCCGCCAGAATCTTTAGGTACTCCAGAGAATTCCCCTTCTTACTCCTGGCATTTTGTTCCACAAACTCCATCAAATCAAAGCAGTAAAGTCATGTTATTTAGCAGTTTTTCAAAATTATAAGAAAAGTATAACTCATGAGAATTACAGATTTTGTATTATCAATTTTCACAGAAGACTCGTCAAACTCCACAGCAGTCCCTTCCTCTTGGTCACGGCCAGTAAAACGTCCAAATCTAACAGAATCTCCGCCTCTCAAGAATTCTTCCATTCTTATACCTGCGGGTCGGACTGTTAACTTATCATCGCCTCTTCCTCCATCTAGTTCCCAGGTAACCTCTTTCCCCCCAGCAGTTTCTGGTTTCCCTGAGGCTCCAGCAGATCTTGATGACCTAATGACTATTGTTGCTCCGCCCCGGATGTCGAAGGCAACATCTTTAGCATCGTTCCCTTCTGCAGCGGGTTCCCCTTCTTATTCCGCTTCAGAAGCTCCATCCACAAAATGTGAGTAAAAAATTTTTTCAAAATACATTTTTATCATTTGTTTTTAGAATGCTTGACGTTGTAGATTTGATTTCGTAAACAGGGCAATAAATTGAAGAGAAATACTGAAAACCAAAAAGATATTCAAACTTGACACTGATAATTCTATTCCTGCCATTATAGTTTGAAAGTGTTATGCATAAGATAGATTTTTTCTGAGGGATACTGTCTTCATTGAAGAAACTCACGATCATACTTAGAAAAGGTTTTGCCCCCGTTATGGATCAGCCAGGCCACAGAGGCCATAAAGCCCTTAGTAAATTACATACCGTATACAATATTCCACGTCTAGGTTTTGAATCTCATATAACGTCAGTACTATTTTCTTCCAGCGTGTTCAAACAGATGCAGCAGGACAAGAATATGCCTTCCTTTCTGCCCGATGCGCTGTTGTAAACAACGTTTGGTCAGCAGCGATTCAAAAGATAACCAATCTTCCACATTGTCGGTGCCTTCCATTGAAAAAAAATGAACATAAATAGAAAAATATTTATAAAAAAAAAGGAAGTGACCGCTAGTTTTAATAATTTTCCATTTGAACCGACAGGATTTAACTTTGAAATGATCAACCAGTGAACTGTAATCAATTATTACAATAAAAGTATGAAAATCGCTTTGGCCATCACAATCATTGAAACGGGGCGACGAAGATAGGTGACTTCTTTGAAATTTGAAGAAAGTTCTCTATCAAACTATCAACAGCTTGGGGTGCGTCAAAAGCATCGTGAACTAAATTCAAACTTAACACTACTTTTGCCCACAATGCATTTGTTAAAATTACAAGCAGCCCCTTACCAGCTTTGATTTCATATTAGTAGCATCGAAATTGTGATATTGATGATCTTTGCAATCAACTCAAATTTGTGTCAAAATTGGTATTATTCTGGGCGAAGCAAAATCAAACAATACATCTCACGCGAAAAAAAAACATAGTTAAGTTATGTGACCCATGTAGCACCAGGACCAGCTTCCTTGAACACTTCCGAATACAGGTGGCATGTCAAGCCTATTCAAGTGCATTTCATCGTTTTGGAAATTGCAACTTAAGATGAAGTTTTCATCGATCATCGTCTCTTTTAAACTCTACTTCTTAGTTATCTTGTCATTTTCAAGAGGTGGGGAAAAAGGAAACAAATCTAGAGATTCAACAGGTAGGATGTTTTTTAATGTAGTTTTAACCAAACAGTGATCTGGAGACTGTTGAGATTAAGACTTAATCAAATTTCATAATATCGGAAAAAACTGGATTTACCAGATGATCAATCGAGTGCATGGACACTAGATTACGTACCAAAAGCTCAGATTTGTCGGCTTAAGTGTAAATTACTCTCGTAAAAACTATCGACTAAGCAATTAGAAGGAGGAAGTTTGGTATTCCTGTTAAGATATCAGCTAAAGTCCACTACTTGCATAAGAAATTCCTCAAAGTAGTAAAGCTCGTGACCTTGACTTAGCTAAACGCTGAAAATCAAAGGACTGTAAGGGAGAATAGGAATGCGGTTCAACTGCACGCGTTGAAAGGCACAGAAAATTAAGAAAATAAGTACATTTTGTTACTTTGGTGTTTAACACTGTATTTTTGCCGAGGTTAAAAAGTTCACCCGAGCACGCGCACCATTAGTTAAGGAACCGCACGAACAGTTTAAATTCTATGTATATTCAAAGCTATTTCTTGGACACCACGGCGGTTACATTGTGTGTCAACCTCGCGCTTAAAATCAACCAAGTCAGTCGTAACCGCTTCTTTCCATTTTATTTTAAATAATATGATTATTTTGCTGAGTTTACAGGGTTATTCAGGAATCACACTACACCTGCACAAAAACTAATAATTAATTAAGTTTGAAATTAAAGATAACATAAACATCCCACTGTAATTTTGTCTCACCAAGGACATAGAAAGTAAGCAGAGAAAATAAATTAATCAGTTAAAAGAGGAAATGAGAAGGGACAATGTTTAGAAAGTTAACAGTCAAAAGAAGGCAACAATATTGATTTAATTAGTATCCGTCACCTTTCATACGCGCTACAGGGAGCTTATATTCCGTGACTGGAGCGGTTTTTTGTTTGTCTCTAAATCACGGCAGGTAATGGCGACATAAACTACTTTCCATTGTACAATTTTGTGCCTCCCCTTTGATGACAAAACTTTAACGAAATGGCAACAACGTTACTCAAGTTTACACATCTCAAAAGCTAAACATCATTGACAAACCTCGTTATGAGTTCGATAACTTGTTTAATTAGGCAACAAAACAAAGGTTGAAATTTAAAATATTCAAAAAGTTATTTTGGAGCATTTCGTTGTACTCGATCGTTCAATACAGGTAAAAGCAACAGAGGGCACTTTATGGGACCTCAGAAAGGGTGACCATGACTACCTTCATGAGAGATAAGGTATAGAAACTGTTATATTAAATTACTTTAAGGGGCGATTGCATAAGACAGGTTTGCTTTATAGAAGTAAGAACGACATTTGTGAAGCATTTATTCATGAAGTTTCCACTGACAGTCGACGGCCAACATGGATTGATAAGACAACGGCGAACAACGTCAACTTTTGGCAGCATCGAAAGAGGACCTTGTAGACACAGTGAGTATCATCGTTACAATCGTTAAATGAACGTGTAACATTGCATTGTAACACAGCATGACATTTCATCTTTAAACTGGGTCGGTTCAGCGATTATGGGAGAAGTGGGTAAAATCAAAATTAATTTTTGGCTGGATAAACTTTCTATTTTTTAGAAAGTTTCATAAATGCTGCGACATAGTTTGAGTAAAGATAAAGTTCACTTCGCGAGCAAAAAGGTTTCACTCTGTTTTTTGCACACTTTCCTTTCAGTGATCCATGGCGTATACTTGGAGAGATGGGACAGAATCGACTACAAGCGTGTCAAATTTCTACTGGCTGATCCGCGCTATCCAAATCTACCAAGTTTTGCGACATGTGTTAAAACATTTGAACAGCCTTCAAAGTGGGGAGATTTCTTTGGCTCTCGTTTAAGGACATACTTTGTTCCTCTGCAAACAGGATACCACTATTTCTATCTTTGTAAGAAACTTCTCCTTTTCAAATAACTAAGTTAAAGAGACGGCTCATCATAGTTGAAATTGAGTGCTAAACCGCATGGAACGTATGAAGGAACGCGTATGCTCTGTTAACCCTATTGGCTGGTAGTCAGGTGAAACAACAGTTCTCAGCTCGTTTAAATACACTGCTGGAAGATAACTATCATACAAATCACGAGCTAATGGTTCAGCAGTTTTTGATAATTCGCTAAACAACCCATAAGGCAGGTTCATACACTCGTGGGACCTTCAACCTGTCATCAATCGTCTTTTCCGACGCATGAATCTCTCCAAAGGCATAATCACTTCTATACTATATATAATATTCTTAACGTTTTTAAATTCAAACACATTTCCCCTGCACGTCCAGTGATCCGTTAATCCGTTTTTGATGGTGTTGCTTGCACGCGTGGAGCAGGAAATTTATCATGAGTTTCTTAGCGTATTTCATCCATTAGTTTCCCATTATTTTCAATCGTGATCAGGACAAAAGTTTACTTTCGCCGATGAACAATTTACTCTTTTGGCTTACGGAACAGAACGTCCTGGAGAAAGGTCCTACATAATCGATGATTATCATTTACTTTAGCATCAAATGCTGGAAGCGAACTCTACATCAGCCAAAACGAAAAACCAGAGATGAAGTCAAAGATTAGTGCAATAGATGGCGGGTTTGCCACTTATCAGTATGAGTTCAATAGGTGAGATAAATTAGACTATCTATTATATGTTGATAAGTTTCTATGTTTCTTAGGAAGACTTAAGCGTAGAGACTTAAATTTTTTTGAACGCATTGGAAATATTTTTAGCTGTGGTGTATTGATTTTTTTAATGGTCAAATCCCGACATAAATAATTTCAAGCAACATTTCAGTGGTGGTACCTTTAAAAGAATAAAAGCTTAGTTTTTCGTTTCATTCTCTGAAACGGTGGAGGGGTGTGCATGCATGCCCACAACACCGGACACAAGCCACTCTGGAACGAAGTAAAGTTTATTGATCGTGACCCTTATTATTACACGCGCAAGGTCAAAGAGGCAATTCATGTAAGAGCATCATGCTTTATAAGATCACGCATGACCAGCCGACCTCATCGCCTGAAGAAGACTAGCAGTATGCAGTCGAAACTTCGCGATCTACATCACACGTGACTACATCGTGAGACAAACGAAAAACGTTGCTTTTATTGTTATTCACCACGATGAATAACCACAACCTTTTCTCGTATTTTCACAACTTGTTTTCTGAAAAAATTGAGTACGGTTACTTAAATTCAATTCCAGGTTTATCAGTCAAAAATCTCTCCCAGTTTACCTAGTAAAAGGTAAATATTATTACATGGAGGCTGTATTCAAAGATGATCATCAAAACGACCACCTAGAAGTGGCTTTAAAGACACCGGACGGAACCTTTTACAAAGTGATTCCCTCAACGTTCTTATGGACTACACTGCCGCCACCGCCTGGTAGGTGAATTTTGTACTCTTCTTTACAATAGAAATAATACACGCAATCACGACTGAAAATTGCCCTTGGGCCAAAGGATAGGGAAAATAACCTTCAGTGAGGCAGTGAAATTTCCGTTGAGTCGTGTATTATTTTCTTTTCGGAGCAGCTTTTAAACGAGTTGCTATGTTACCTTTTCCCCATTTTAATTCTCAGCCAGAAACTTTACCAATATAGCCATTTTACTCCGAGTGGCCGCGCGAGCTGGTGCAAGAGCTGGTCTTGCATTCGGAGCGAATTGGGCGAGAAAGAGCGGAAAAAAAGCAGGCGCTAAGGCTGGTGCCGTTTCTGGGGAGGAAGCAGGAGCATCAGCGGGAGCCCGCGCAGGTGTAAAAGCAGCGATAAAGATGACAGTAGAGACACTAGAAAAAATATTTAATAAACTTCATGGAAATGACGGGCATAATTTTAAGATTCTTGTGAAGAATGCCACTGTGGTTTCTGTGAGTGGTCCCGGGATAAAAAGTGCAGGAAGAGCTGGCTCTGCTGCAGCAGCGGTAGCGTTAGGAGCAGCTGGGAGTGCTGTAGGGCTAGGGAAAGTAGAAAGCACAGGAGCTGCTGGATCAGCGGGAAAGGCTGGAGCTGTTGGTGCTGGAGGAGCCGGAGAAGGTGGAGGAGCTGGAGGAGGTGGAGGAGCTGGGGGAGCTGGAGGAGCTGGAGGAGGTGGAGCAGCTGGGCGAGCTGGAGGAGCTGGAGGAGCTGGAGGAGCTGGAGGAGCTGGAGGAGCTGGAGGAGCTGGAGGAGCTGGAGAAGGTGTAGGCAGTGCCGCAACTACTGGTGGTGGTGGAAATACAAGAGGCACAAGCGGAGGAGTAATATCAGAGAAAGGAGGAGGCGGAGGTATAGCTGGTACTGCACCAGCTAGTAGTGGTGTTGGTGTAGCAGGAGGAGGGATGGCAGGTGAAGTCATGGAAGTTTCTCAGGTTACATCAGGAGCAAGCTCCACAGGTAGTGGTGTTGCTGCAAGTGTTGGTGAAGTAGAAATAGACGGCAGGACGTTTTCTCCAGATAGGCCGTTGGTCGTGATTCCGAGACCAGGAGAAGATCCACAGGAACTTGCCAATTCAAAGACGATGCTTTGGAAAGCGGGTGGTGCTACAGCAAGTAAGCAATTCAGAGTGTTAAACAAATTTGTGTATGTTTATTAAATGATTTTCAAATAATCATGAAAATATTGTTTCAATTTTTTTTTCGCTGCACGAGTTGTTTATTTTTTTCTGAAGTCTTAGAGGTACAAGCCACCTTCGATTATTACCGTTTCCGTTCGTTGACCATGTCTGAGGTTCACTATTAAGTATTCAGGACCGTTTATTACTTAATTTTAAAAAAAACCTTTTGCCTATTGAGTCAATTGAAAATTCCTTTTAACCATTTCACTTTCTTGAGTGTAGCCCAATATAAGGATTCCAAAAGGGTTGTTTTCAGGCTTCAATTAAGTCTTCACATATAAAGTGCCTTTATTTTGGCAGTTGTGGCAGGTGCAATGTACACCTTTCATGCCTGGGACATACCATACACACAGGAGGACACCAACTTGAATTACTGCTGGCGATCAATAAATGGCAACCTTCGCATGAACCAGTTCTGCCAGGCATTTACAGCTCGCGTGCCTGCAATCTATAGCAAAGCCACCGAAAAAAACTTCAGCGTATCTTTTGAGTCTGTGTGTCGACCCAATCATTTCATACGACAGAGGAGCTATCATTTCCATCTTGAAAGGAGAGACGGATCGGAGCTCTTTGGTAAAATAATGATTACGATTTGAATGACATATTTCCTATTATTTGTGGATTGTAAATTTTCCATTTTTACATATACATTTTCATTAAACTAACGGGATCTACGTAAAATATATAATGGGCAGATGAGAGCAAATAGCAATAAAATTTCACATGAAGGAAAAGCTTATATTAGTGCAGTTTTGCCGTTTTCCTCTTTACCTTCTTTCTAATTTCACTGAAAAGCGTGATGTATTTCGTTTGCAGAATCCAAGAGAAACAATTCAAGCTAATATTTCGGCAGTAAACGATGTAAATTTAAAAAAAGTATATATCTATTTTGCCGCTTGTGAATATTACTGTTGTCGTTGTTTTTATTAGACAAAGACAGCTCCTTTTACATCTTCTCGGTGATGAAATATGAAAGAAACCTTCTTTTCAACGCCATGCATAAAGATTGGTACATATGCCAAGAACTATACAAAGTAGAAGGCCGACAGATGATTTTAGACTTTTACAAGGGTGAACCCGATGTTCTTCAGCGCTGCTCCTTCTCAGTTTACCCTCTCCTGCTAGGCAGCAACAAATTTATGAACTGTAAGGACGTTCTTGGACCAGTGAAACATCGCGAAATCAATGGTCAACCACTTCCTCATCCCCCACATCTGATTCCTATTGCTCCACCGCCGCCATCTGCCTTGTCTCTATGTTTGCCAGTTTGCCAGGAACAAAAGTTTCCTTCCTCAGTTGAGGTTTATAGCGTCCCTGAAAACGCAAGTATGTCTTATTTTTTGACATTAAAGAATGATTATCGGATGGGTCTGTGTTATCTGCCGAAGCTGAAGGCTATTGTATATTGATTGAATGATCTCGTCCATCAGATTTTTCATAGTAATTCTAAAGGATAATCAAATTATGTATACGTATACACGTATACATTCATTTGTACGTATGAACCCTTTCGGATCTATCTATTTTCACACCAAGCAAGTCCTATTTTGTGCATACAATCGGTGGGTGTAAGCTCCTTAAGAAGGATTGAGTTTAAGGGTAGCGCCATTCAAACTTGTGAGAACCTTCGCAACAATTTTTTCCATGCGTGTGTGTGGATGTCGCCCGCTGGTTATACAGTTACCCAAGTGTACGCCGAGTTTCTAATCGCTAACCCAAGTGCCTTTTAATACGATTGACATACAATTACATTTTTGGACCAAGAGAAAACTCACAACTGATTATAGGCTCTCCATTTTCACCTCAGGGATATATGATCAACAGAAAAAAATAGCACAGCCAGAAGATTATAAAGAAACTTGTTCACGTACGATTCCGTATCATTATATAAACAGTTTAAAATCGAGTTATGGGTTATTATTACATTCACGAGGTAATCTCTTGTTACGACCCATTTTTGTTTCAGCTATGTGTGTTGCATTGCACTTCATCAATGACTTCGGTAGTCCATTTAAATTGGACTCTCCTCTTAAACACGACGGATATCTTGTCAATGGGTCAGAGTTTAAACTCAGATTCATCGTAGACCACCCCAAGTTGCATAGCTACGTAAAATTCAGTGCCCGTGACCCGGCAGGTGAAAGCAGCCTTGTCTTGAATGGAAAATCCACTTTCTCGGAGCAAGTAGTGCCTGGCTGTCCGATCTTTCGGAAGATTTCAGTGAAATCCCAACAAGGTGATTTCACGGTCTGAAAAATTAAACCATACATATCTATAATCTTGATTTCCAGAGGTTTACTTTGTGAATATGACCTTGATCCATTTTCTCTAATTTCTCCCCGGATGAAACTCCTTATGAGTATTGAATGGTAATTAATAACCTTTCAGTTTGATATGCATGAGATGATAATTTAAAGACAAATGATTAACACAGTAACTTGATACCAAGTCGTAGTGTAAAGTAAAACTGCAATTTCAATTGACCTTGACTTGCTTGGTCTTAATCTCTTAGCACCTTGTAAACTAAACTGTTCTTTGTTAATTACAGGACGTTTTCAAGAAAAAACACCATCAGCATCAGTTACATCTCAGGCACCGCAAGAGGAATCTTTAGGTCTATCACCTCAAAGACCATCATCACTTCTCCCATCCCAGCTTGCACCACCCCTTTCACCTTTACCTCCAGCTTATTCTGCTTCTCATCCTATCTCAACATCGGTATCAAATTCTGCCAATGTTTCTGCTGCCTCAACAGCTTCACCTCCTCCTCTCTACGGTCCAGTATCGCCAGTGCAGCGAAAAGCGGGTAAGAATTCTCGAAATTTTATTTTGATTCACCTTGGCCATTTAGCTTTCCAGGCCCCTCTCACGTCCTTCCACAGTCCAAACGGTATTTCTCTAACTAGAACGTTCTTCTGTTTTTACAGATAATGGATCCGTTCACTATCATTTCCACTATTATCCAACAAAGACGTTTCCAAATGGTAAAAAAAAGTATTTGCCTGCGAAATAAGTGTTTCACTATGTAGGTGCATTCTACAATGGTTGGGAGACATATTTTGACTTATTCACCCTAACTCTATCATCTCCCCTCCGGAAGTAAATTTCCACAATTTTCGGCTAAAATGACCAAGGAAGCCGTACAAGATTACGACAACAATTAACGTAGAAAAGGGTGGAAGCATTGGCTCCCAGATATATTATGGACCATGGGATGGTCTTTTCCAGTAAGATTTCAAGAATGCTAAAAAAGATTTGCATAGCACATCAAAGCGCATTGGGAATTTATTGGGAATTTAAATGCAACTTAGGCGCGAATAAAATTTTTTTGCTTACAGCTAAATTTTTTTTGAAGTCGATAATTTCCTCCTATTTTCTCCTCCTCCTTGACAACTTAACATACTAAAGTGAAAAGTGACCTTATTGCTTGATCAAAAATTGTTTTAAGTAACTTTCATGTTGCAACTTTCTGCAGAAGCTTTGCTCACAAACAAATATATCCCTTGCAGGTTGTCCAAGCAGATGTTCCAATTCGGCCCTATGCCCTTCTCTCTCCTGTCCGTTACAATGTTGTAAGCCAGACCTTGACGAATATATTGACGATAAACTTAAGAAATAACCACTCTATCTAATTTGATCAGTTTATCATTGGTCTATAATCGAACGTCGGCAGCCAACGTGTAAGGAGGGGGATTTGTTTTAAAAATAGAGAAAAGATCACTCACTCATAGTGGGAGACTCGTTCCTCTCCCCGCCTGCATCTCCAAAATTTAAAGGCTCAGGTAGGTCGAGCAGCCTTGAATACACTTACGTGGCCGCAGCAGATGTTAACAAGGCAACGACGTACAGAGAATCTACCAGAGGAGCCATCCTCTTTTACTTCAGTTCCATACTAGAGGAATTATCTTAAATAAAGAAATCCAAAACGATGCCTTGAAAGTACTTTCTTCACAACGGCTGCCATACGACATTTTCTGCTGAAAATAATTTTTATATTGTTTGTTTTTGTATCTAGGTTGTCCATTTAAGGCCAACCAATCAATAAATGGCTAATTTAATGACTCTGTCTGGTAATCGAAGGTATCTTGAGTAGCGATTGGTTTTACACTGATTAGTTGAGAAACCCTAAGGAACTCTTCTTGGGTTGCTGTGTAACAGTTTAACTTGCAGCTGGTTTCATGAAATAGATAGCAAAATAGAATAATTTTAATTTTCACTCTATTTTCAATGACCATTCGTGTCCATGGACACATTTCGTTTTTTTTTTCGCAAGTGATAAGCATCTTATTTCTCCTTATGATGTTTAAATAAGTAAGCAGCTAGACTGGTGGTCGCCATTGAGGTTGCCTAGTTTCTACAGTGAGTTGCGCTAATTTAAAGGAAGGAAAGAAATGTCCATCAAATACTGTTTTTTTTGGAAGAGAAAACACAAGAACGCCTCCTTTAAAATGTAAATATTCGATATTAATAAAGATTACTCAGGAAGGCCCTGATGGAAAAAAAACTGGCAAGTATAGCTACATAAAAATCGTGTTTTACCAAAATGTTAACGTTGGACGCTCTGATGAGTCACAATTTATCAGGGTAATTTATGGCCGAATTTGGCAAACTGATCAAGTTTGATTCACTCCAGAGACAGTTGTCAAGTTCTTTTCATGTTACTCCACAAACATTTCACTGCACGGACGTTTAAATTTGGCTAGTAGCAATTCACATGAGTGGTATTACATGCCAGGTACGGTAAAACGGGAGTTGAAATGCGATTCTTTAATCTAGTGATAATTTTAAAAGAATGCGAAATAGCGTCTATTTGTGACCACAAGTCATCAAAAAAAGAATCACATACACATTCTCATATTTGATGTATCCATCAATTTGCAAAGAAAAACTCTTGATGAAAAATTGTTCGCGAGCTACGTGACCAATCAGAAACCCTTTGTTAGTCAGCAGGTGCTGGAAGAAACTAATTAAATCTGTAGAAAGTGCGATTAAATCGTTACATCTTATGTCTACTTAGCCATCTGAAACCTGGTATGAAGTTTTCATCTATCATTGCTTATGCTGAACTGTACGCTTTGTTTATGGTGTTATTTTCAAAGGGTGATAAAAACGGAAGAAAATCAAGTGATTCAGCAGGTAGGCGTATTTGTTGTCACCAGCGAAATTTTAGAATCCATTCACTGTTTTGTAAATCTGCGTACTTTTCGAGTAATGGAATTGAACGCCTTCCCTAATTTAAATACAACTATGGGCATATAATCAAATATTTGAAAGTATACTTTGCCGCCGACTCGTTCGAAACATGAGGGACCCCTGCGGCGTGCTCTTAAGTACCGTGTCAAACACAGTTAGAGTTAAATTCAAATTTTATCGCGTTAGAGAGTGTATGTGGAAACATGAACATAGTAAAGTGAGCTTATTGATTTAGAATAAAGGGATAGGTTTCTAAGAAAACTGTGGTGTTGGGTCGGTGGGAGTCAAAACAAGATAATTCGATTTTATCAGCTGGGTTGGTAATGTGAATTGGCCACCGTACAGCGATTCTAGACCTTAAGTTTCGAGCGCTAGCCTCTTGTAAGGGCGAATGGCCAACAACTAAAGGCTCTTAAGAGGGATTAACGCTCATTATCAACTCAACTGATGAAACCAAATAACCTTATTGACTTAGACATTGATCAGACTTCCTTTGGTATCTACTTTCTTGTACTTGTTTGATTTTAGTCTAGGAACAACTGTCATCGTAAATTTGAAGCTCTTTCCGCTTAAATTATCATCATCCCTAAATCTCAACTTCTCAAACTTCGTAACTATATTTACTTCGTTAGATTCTTCTGTTTGGTTAGCACAAATTTTAAAATGAAATATATAACTCTAAGCTTACTCTAGACTGGATTGGTGAGAGTCAGGAAAATAATAAATTATTCTAGATTAGATTTAACTCGAACAAAAAGATGTTGATCTAAACGAATGATCAACCGTATACTGCAGGTCCTTTTTTATATGGTCAACTGAGTATTAACTCTTAAACTTCTTTAAGCATAGCAAGCTTCATTTCACAACCATTGACTGCGTTTTGAGATTACTCAGCAACCTGGTCGCTAGATTGTAAAATAAACGATTAGCTCGTGACATGGTTGCACACCAATGTATCAATTCAAACTGAGGCGCGTAGCTGACTTATCCAGAGTTGTTTGTTAACAGCGCAATTTGGTTTTCGCCAGTTAAGTTCATTCCTGAGAAGTCGTGCACTTGCGGCCAGAGTTTTCTTTGGATATTTTTAAAATTGAACCACAGCATATACATTTTAATGCCGGGGATGGTGGAGCTTATTCCTTCTTCAAAGTACGAATTTTCTCTTGTTTTTGATTAAACTTTTACCGTCAAGTAAAACATATATATAAAGTGCTGTACAGTTCTTATACCACGTTACCATGAAGACATGATCGTTCGAGGACAACAAAGGCAAATTGACGTGCATTTGGTGTGTACGTTCGTAGGAATCATAAGAAGTCCTAGAAGCTTCGATGTTTTACACTGAGCTATGTGCATGTTAATTTTGGAACTGTTTCGAAACCTTACAAAATTGAATCTTTTAAACTTACTCTGTGCTTAGATTTTTAAGCAGCTGGATCATTTGCCCACACTTACTTAGCTTGTTACTGACAACGGAGTCCACATTATTTCGACTCATACTTAAGTATTTGGTAAATTTTGTTTTCCTTCATTTTAGATATTGTAATAAAAAAATTCGGATTTCTGTCTGAACTGAGCCTTGGAAACGATTTTTTCTTCCACTGATAGTTGACGACGGACTGCTAAGACGAAGGCGGGCGTATAGATTTGGAAGTACGAACGAAGGACCTTGCGCCAACAGTAAGTTACATCGTGAAGACTTTGTCCTCAGAAAGTTCTTAATTGCTTTACAACATACGTACAAACTCTTTGATTTTTTTGCCACAACAGAGCTGTCTGAGGTGCTTGCGTCTGCAACAAAAAGCCACAATGTATTGGTTTTTTTTGACGAGATAATCGACGCTATCTTGACCAATCGGCTTGCGATCAATATCTCTATTACTTCACAATAAATACAATGTTATAGACAGATTATTCCATAAAGAATGTAGTGTACCGCTTTTTTCCTACCTCGTTAATTTCTTGCTTTTGTTACTTTAGAATAAAAATCTACTTGGTATTTCCGCATGTAAAGTGTAACTTTTTGCATTTGAGATCTACATCATAGTAGACGTTTTGGTGCGTAGTATCGCTGAGTATTTTTACGACTTGTCCTGTACTTTGTCGTGCCCGTAAGGCGAGTCAAAATACAAACCACACATGAGACAGGACAAGCAAAGCAGATACAGAAGCGTAGAACGCGCAGTTGACAGGTTAAACAGAGTTTTTACAGTACAAAAAGAAAACAGCTGTCCTAATATCGCTTAATATTTGTGCCCAATTCGCTTGTTATCTGTATTCTGCTTACTGACCAATGCATTACTGGCCAAAGAAAAAAAATTGAAAATGAATTTAAAATGAAGTGGATTTGAAAAATCTACTCCAGAATAACAGAACTGCTCGTTTCATGTTACACACAAATAAAGCTGCACTCTTCCTTATAATTGATTAAAGGGAATTTTATTTTAATTTCAGTGGCCCATGGTGTTTACCTGGAGAGATGGGACAGAATAGATTACAAACGTGTCAAATTTCTATTGGCAGATCCGCGATTCCCAAACCTGCCAAGTTTATCAATATGTCTTCCAACATTTGAACAGCCTTCTAAGTGGGGAGATTTCTTTGGGACCCGTTTGAGAACTTATTTTGTTCCCCTTCAAACTGGAAACCACTATTTCTATCTCTGTAAGAAGTTCACACTTGTACTAATAATCTGTGAATATAAGAACATAAACATAGTATTGCGTGATGCATTCTCAATGGGCTTAATTGTCATGGGCGAGTATCGCGCACGCATTAACAACGTGGCCGTTTTCATTATAGTCCGAGGTTACCAACGAGGGAAACCGTAATTTTCTCGTAGACGGTCGCGATGATAGCACCATTTGATCAGCGTTAATTATCCCAAACGGAAAAACATTTACTTTAAGGAAGAATTGTGATCAATAGGAGCTGAATTAATTACTTATCAGGATGACATGGAACCCTACCTATAGAACTAGAGGGGGAGAGAGAGAGTTATTTAAAGTTTGAAACGAATGAACTGAAGGCCAAGGCTCCAGCTTGCGGAGATAATCGTAGTTTTTATCATGCAATTTCGATATTTTCGGTAAGGTTATTCGAGTTTTGTACGTTTTCCGTGTACGTGGGATACCCCATAATAATGCCTTTTTAGATGTCTTTGGTACAACTATCAATTATGCCGAGTAGGAAAGAACTTGGATAGTTTGTTTATTTGAAGAAGCTACCAGAATGCAGTGCAGCAACTAACCAACAAACTAAGCAGAAAGACAAAAAACATCTTATCATCTTTTAGACCACAACAGGTGCTTTGAAGGCACTGATCCCGTTGTGAGTTAGGTATGCAAAGATACAGGAAAGGACCTAACGCAACGACGTCCAAACGATTCTTATCAGACTCTTGTTAAACGATGAAATTTTTTAAAATTTCCCTGCTACGTTCTAGCATCTGATGCTGGGAGCAGACTCTACCTCAGCCCAGACGAAACGCCAAAGATGAAGGCACAGATTAATGCCATATTTGGTGGCTTTGCCACGTATCACTACGAGTATAATAGGTAATAGTAATTGAAAAATTACTTCTTTGTACAAGATACTTCAAAAAATGCCGTTAAGTAATGCCTTATTCCTTTATGCAATCTGATGCAATTTTTCTAAACATTTTTCTGTTTTACTTCATCGTTAGATGAAATTTGATTGTTATTTGACTAGCTTACTGGCTTCCGTGACGCGCATGTCATTTAGGAGAGTGAATATGGGAAGTACATGGCCTGTTCGACATTCTCAGGAGTTCAGGGCTGTTGAAGTTTTTTTTGCTAAAAGTCAGCTATTTATCAATCATCACGATTATCGAAGTTAACACTTAAAAATCCGTTTTATGTGATGACTGAAAGCTTGTTTAACGTTGAGTAATTTTTTCATCTTTACTGCAGGTTCATTGATCAAAAATCCCAACCAGTCTATCTATTTAAGGGCAAGTACTATTACATGGAAGCTATATTCAAAGACGACCATCAGAACGATCACCTAGAAGTTGGATTGAAGACTCCAGATGGAACATTTTATAGAGTAATTCCATCAAAGTTCCTCTGGACGAAACTTCCTCCAAAACCAGGTTGGTCGATTTTTTATTGTTTTTCATCGTTAATGTTTTAAATGTAGGGTTTTCTATCGTTTTTTAAATGTACATTTTAGGATAACTTAGTGAAGTCACACTAGTCCAATTGCTATTTTACCAAAGTAATGTCAAAACTCTCACACGTTCGAGGGCTTATCGCTCACACTTTCCTGTCATTATTTATTAGCGCAGAATGCTACTTACCGGGCAATTTTACTCAAAGTGGCTGCAAGGGCTGGTGCAAGAGCCGGTTCATCATTTGGGGCGAAATGGGCAAGAAAGAGTGGAGCCAGAGCTGGAGCAAAGGCTGGTGCAATAGCAGGAATGAAGGCTGGAGCATCAGCGGGGGCTCGTGCAGGTGTTGAGGCTGCAATAAAAATGGCATCAAAAACCCTTGAGGAAGCATTTAACTCTCTTCATGGTAATGATGGGCACAAATTTAAAATTGTGTTCAAAAATGGAAGTGTTGTTTCTGTAACTGGTCCGGGAATGGAAAGTGCCCCTGGGAGAGCAAGCGCCGCTGCAGCCGCTGCAGCATCAGGAGCTACTGGAAAAAGTGGTAACAGTGGTGTTTCTGGAACCCCTGGAATCGCTGGAACGGCTGGAATAGCTGGGAAAGCCGGCACTCCTGGCACAGTTGGGACCGTTGTAGCTCCTGGAACTGGAGGTGGAGATGGAGGAGGAGGTGGGGGTAGGGGTGGAGGAGGAGGTGGAGGTAGGGGTGGAGGAGGAGGTGGGGGCGGAGGAGGGGGTGGAGGAGGAGGTGGTGGAAGTGCCGCAGGCGCCGGAGGTGGAGCCACTGGGGGTGGTGGAGCGATAGGTGGGGGTATCGCAGGCGGAGGTTCGGCAGGTGGAACTGTGACAGGTGGTGGTGTTGGTGTTGCTAGTGGAGCAAGTGCTGTGACTGCAGTGTCAACTGGTGGGGCTGGCACTTCTTCACAGGTTACCTCAACCACGAACTTAGCAAGTGGGAGCAGTGTAGCTGTAGGGGCTGGTGAAGAAGAAGTCGATAGTTATGCCCTGTCACCTGAAAGGCCATTAACAATAATTCCAAGACCAGGGGAAGATCCCCAAGCCCTCGCTACATCACAGGCCATGCTTTGGCCAAAAGTAGGGGGTGCAACAGGGCGTAAGTATCCGATTCTAAGAAGCTTTTTTTCAATCATTCTTTGCATACTTTAATTTACCTGTGCTATGTTTAGATGTCAATTCTTCACCACCTAAACTGTATCATTACTGAACCTCATATTCTTACCTAAACTCAACATACAGGAGTGAGGCCTCATGCTTAAGACCTTAATTTCTTTCAGTCGTCGCAAATGCAATGTACACATTTCACTCATGGGGCATACCATACAGACAAGAGGAAAATTATCTAAATAACTGTTGGCGGTCAGTAAATGGAGTCCTCCACATGAAGCCGTTCTGCCAAGCCTTTATCGCTCGAGTGCCTGCTCTTTATGTCAAGGCTACCTCAAAGAACTACTCCGTATCCTTTGAGTCCGCGTGTAGGCCTGGTCATTTCTTAAGACAAAAGAACTATCATTATTTTCTGGAAAAGAGAGATGGAACGGAGCTGTTTGGTGAGATATTCAGTACGATTTGTTGAATTTATATGCGCTATTTCCCGATCACACTGTCCGAGCTGTTCCTCATATTTGGACGAGCGTATTCACGATAATAATTAGTAGATTCAGATCTTAAAGTGAACGGCAAGACACAGATGTCTAAGTTCGTGTACTTATCTTCTCTTAATCTTCACCAAAGTATAAAAATCCAAATGTGACTATGCTCACGCTAATGCACCAGTCACTAGAATGCGGCCTGCTGATTGCCATACAATCGGGTCTTGAGAGAATCGGGTCTTGAGAGAATGGTTTGAGTTAGTATGGAAATAGACTGCATTTGGAGGAAATAAAATTCACTCATCCATGTTTTCATCGGGCACGATGACTCAAGTTTTCTGACCCGGAGTTAAGCAGCAATGAAACTTGGTCTAACACTCTGCCATCTCGAAAAATTAGAGACAAGGTTCTCTTGACTTTCACTTTTTGTTCATTTCAGATAAAGACAGCTCCTTTTACATCTATTCGGTGATGAAATATCATCGGAATCTCCTTTTCAACGCCATGCACCAAGACTGGTATATATGCGAAGAGAGTAATTGGAAAGAAAGGGATCCTGCAATGGTTCTTGACTTTTACAAAGGTGAGCCGGATGTTCTACAACGTTGCTCCTTCGCTGTTTACCCGCTCTCGTTAAACAGTAACAAGTACATGAACTGTAAAAATGTCCTCGGTCCAGTAAAGTACAGAGAAATTAACGGACAGTCACTGCCCCACCCACCTCCTTTACTGCCACATCTTCCTCCGCCGCCTCCTCTCTTGCCTGTATGTTTGCCAGTGTGCCCGGCTCAAGAAGCGGGAGGAACTTCTGGAGTGGGAGGAACATCTGCTCCGAATTTTCCGTCCACAGTTGGAGTTTCAAGCGTCCAAGAGAGTGCACGTACGTCTTTATTTTTATGCAGTGTAAAATATGGTTTAACTCTAATGTGTCATTGTTGCCAAAGCTGAGCTGCTCGACATTTCCTCTTGGATTGGGGTTTACCGCCTCCAGAAAGGCTGTCAGCCATTGGTTTTAGTTACCCCTAGCCTCAAAATGTGGGTCAAGTAGCACGTTCAAGCATCGAAACGCCTGTTGCAAAAATATAACTCTTAACTTGTCCATTATTTTCTATCCAGTGTGTGCCAAACCATATCAATTCGTTTGTAAAGTTGATAAATAAGCGCATTCAAAACGTGTAACAGGACTTGCAAAATTTTAATTAGTTTACGTATCAGCGTTTATTGGTTTAATGACTGATGAGCCACAAATAAAGTTTGAATCGCATGAAAAGAGTGCAAAAGCTGCTCGTTGTGCCACAGCCTGCTGAACAAACGACCCCCCCCAAAATCCTTATTATTTGACTTACATTTGGATGCATAGGTCACTTTTAAAACATTAATTTAATGAGTTGAGCTTCGCATCTCAGAAATATAGAAAAAGAAGTCTGAAAGCTTAGGTCTCTAATGGTTCACAAAAACAAAGCAGAAACTTTCTATCGACCAATTTACTGAGATATAATTCTGTTAACATTATACTTTCTCTTTCTTTTTTCAGCCATGTGCGTTGCATTGATTTTCATCAACGACTTCCACAGTCCATTTAAAATTTATTCCCCTCTCAAAAAAGATGGATATCTCGTCAGTGGGTCAGAATTTCAGCTAAAATTCATTGTAAACCGACCCGAGCTGCATGGCGTTGTGGAATTCAGTGCCCAAGACCCAGCAGGAAAAAGCAACCTTCTTTTAAACGGAAAATCAAGTATTCTGGAACCAGTAGTGCGAGATTGTCCTATTTTTCGGAAAATTTCAGTGACATCCCTACAAGGTGATGTAAAGTGCTGGAAACTTAACAATTTCCTAAAAATCATTTCATAAAAAATGAAATTTTAGATGGGTTTATTTCCTACTATCACAAATCTCACATTTTTCCTCTGTGCAATGAAGCTGGATAAAACTTTCGACAAAACTGTGAGGGCCGGAGTCAGAAATTATGTACCAAACACGCAGTTTGATGTGCTTTTTACTATAATGTAACGTTGTACAGGCGCAGAAGAACATATTGCTTCTCTTTAACATGAAAAAGGTGAAATGCACGTATTATGTACTATTATGTACGCACAGCCGCGCACACCCAGAGGTATATGTATCCACTATGATGGCTCGATGGGAATGAGAGGGGCCAAGTGCGCTCTGGGCCACAAATGAAGCTGTTCTTTGTTGCTGGTGGATCACAGGTTATGATCTTGATGAAAAGATTATCTTCAAACTTGAATTTTACCGTGTCCTCAAAACATCCCTAATTGGAAATCTTTTCTTAAACGATCTAAAAGCCACAATGCATTATCCACTTATAAAGTGTCCAACAGCCGCTTAAATAGGCATCTCAACTGAGTAAATAATTTGTTTTAAGTTTCAGGTCCATCTCAGGCAAATACATCGAGTAGTTCATATGCTCCGCCGGTGGAATCAGGAATTATTTCACCTCAAAAACCAGTACCGTCCCTGCCGTCTCAATATGGATCCCCATCACCACATTTGCCTCCCGCTCCGCCACCTTTTCCCTCGCCTCCAGCAGAAGCACCTGCCTCTTCCACTTCTCATACTCCATCGGCAAATGAACCGTCAGTTGCTCCCCCTCCGGTACCAGCTTCAGCTCCTCCTTCTCCGGGTCCAGCATCGCCATCGCACCACAAAGGTAATGTAATTTACAATCTATGAAAACGATTCATTTAGCTACTTCTATACTTTAACTTATCCAACTTCCTATTCATAATAATACCAAGAGATTATAAACTATTTATAATCTCCTGTTAGTGCCCAAACCTTTCCCATGATAATTTGCTTCCTTTTTTTCTGTTACAGATAATGGATCCTTTCACTATCATTTCCATTATCACCGGTCGAAGAATCCTTTAAATGGTAAAGAGATTATAATTGTTCTTATACGAAAAGTAGTTCTCGTTATTCAGGTTTTTGTTACATGAACAATACTAGGACGATTATGACTGAGTAATCATACGGTAAACTGGGTAAAGTGTAGTTATTAAACTGAGAGAGGAAATAAGTCAAAAAGCCTTCAAGGTAATGGTTGATATATAGACGGAGACGTGAATTAAACGCTGATTGCTAGAAAAATACTGTACAAAAAGCCGTAGGTTTCACTCGCAATTGCATTACACCAATGCAAATTGCGTATTTTAAAAAAGGCATGCTATTTAATATATAGAGAATAATACATGGGCGCACGTAGATATGGAATTTCTCTTCGAGTGTTCAACTCGATAGCTCACGAGTGAGATGTTGAGTTGAACACGAGAAGAAAAATTCCATATCTACAAGCGACCATGTATTATTTCGTTTGTCATATAAACACAATAGCCCTTTACTGACAAGAAAAGCCGACTTCCCCAATGAATGAAGATAAATGAATCGACAATCCCCAAATAATAATCATAAAGTGCGTTGGCGCTAACTCTTAAATGGAAAAATGCGTTGAATAATGATTACAAAAACAACAATGGTCATAATTTTTAATTTACCAAATTCTCATTTATTGACTTTTCCCTTACTGACAGAAAAAGTCTTTCAGGTAAACGGCCAAAATTGGCCAGTGGCAAATCTTCCAGTTGTCGATTTTCATTCTCAGTCGAAAGAAATGCCAACACCAAAGCCACTGAATACGTAACTTTCAGTTTTTCTTTCAGTAATTGGTTTTCTTCCCCTTCTAAGAAAGTTTGAACCTCGCTGTCTGTCAGCGATACGGAATTTTTAGTGCTTTAGCCGCCATAATTCGAGAAGGCTCCGACAAACAACTTGTGTTGAGAATCATGAAAACTTTGCCGTTCATTCATCAACCTGACCGGGTGGCACCAAAGGCGAGTGACGTGTCAGCAGCTGATTGGCCATATCAACACACGTGAAAAAATACGATATTTTTTCACGTGTGTTGTTACGGCTTTTCTTAGGGCCGGAAATCCCTGTATAACACCGCAGTTTATGTGATAAGACATTTTTTAACATCGTTTTGAATTTTTCACGTCCTCAGTAGTTCCCAATTACAATGCATCTTTATATACTAAAAAAGATACTTACAAAAGATCGAAAATGAAGCTCCAATATCTTATAAGTTTTTTGGAACTGCAATTCTCCCACTTCGTGCTCTGGTAATTCGCTCTCTGTTACATTTTATTCTTGACAGTTTTTTTTTTTAGCAAGTTAGAGGGTGACCTCGCCAGTATTTTTTCAGACTGGTTTCAGTAAATTCGTCTCACGGTGCGTATTTCCGATGTATTGGTCACCAATAAATATATTTCTCCTGCAGGTTGTCCAAGTGAATGTTCTAACTCGGTCCTATGTTCTCCTCAGTCTTGTCCGTTACATTGTTGTAAGCGAGACGGAAACGATTACATTGACGACGATGAACTTATACAATAACAAGACTGCTTTCTTTCTATTATTTTTTATTTTTAAACGGTATTCAGTGAGGGAAAACCTTTATAGAAAATTAATGGTGGAATGAGAGCGTTGTAATAAGCTTCCCTCTCTATTGAGCCCTCCGTCTAGCACTAAAAGTTAGTAACGAACCCCACCCCCACCTTCTTGTAAGCTCCTTTCCTCTTTGCCCTCTCTCATCAAAAGTTTTTTAATGGTCGTATAGCTATCACTCGTTTGGGATGGGTGGCTCTTTATTGTCAAATTTACCTTTATTCAAAATCCTGGATTAGTTTTCATCGTGAATATCCTTGGTTTTAAACCAGAAATTCAAATTACATCACTTTGTGTCATCCAATAAATCTGGGCGACAATTAAAAACAAAAAATAGATCCCCGAAGAATCATTAGAACTTTTGTCTGTTCGAAAATTGAATTTGTTTTGTGCAGGATCTACTAAATATTGGCGGCAAGTTATTGTTATTTTTGTCGTTTGTTCTCTCTCTCTATTTATTTATCCCTGTTTGTTGAAGAATGTATGGATATTTTAGGGAGAACTTTTATGTTAATCATTTCCAGGAGTTAAAGGGTTAAAGTAATGTTAAGTAGTAACGTGAGTACTGTTGGTATTTTTTATTGTGTTGGACTTGGTTGTGCAAGTAATAAATACATAAAACGGTATGTTTATCGCGTACTCAATGTTAGTTTGGAAACACTGTTAGTTTTACTAATTTCCTACAAACTTCCTTTTAATTTATGTTTAGTTATTATGTAGTCAATTCCATGGTCTAAAATGAACGCGTCGGTGGAAATCGAGATTTCCTGGAATTGTATCATAACTTTGGATCTTTGCTGCCTGGGAAGTAGTTCTTATTGTGGGCGCTACATTTTTGCAACACCTTAGCCTTCTTCACGTATCATAGCCTATAAAAGTACGACGCACACCGTTAGTTAGTAAAAGCCTGAAGTAAGTTGAAGCTACACCACTACTTTTGCTACCATCAGAAGGATCCGAGCTACCGCTACCTCAAGTGTCTTTGATTTCAGTGAGCCACAACCTCTAGAATCTTCACATTTACACTCAGCGTCCTCATAATTCCGAACATAATGTGCAGTGTGTCGTGTAAAGAAATGTGTGCTGCAGAAAATGAAGAATAATTGATGGCATTAAGTACCTTATCGCGAACATAGTTTACGCTGCTTCATCCTCGCTACTTGTAAGGTAGGCGCTTATAATCCATCACGCATTTTTGCTACACCCGATTGGTTCGCTAAAAGCATCGAATATGCCTCAGCTAAGATAATTGAAGGAAAATAAGCACAAAAGGCTCCATTTGACTCGAACTTATATTTGTATATATGTCTTAAAACATTATCTGTTCCTTGAAGCTCACAGTTTTCCTCGAGCCTGACTCTCGGGGAACTGTTCGCATCTCGGAACGGATAATATCCGTGGGCAAATATCCGTGCAAATTTTCGCGCCAAATGAAGGCTATTGTTTACTTTAAGTTTACTTTAAGTTTACCATTTGAATTTATTTGTAAGTCATAGAAAACCATCCTTAACGACTGTTATTGCCTCTGTGCTGACCTTTTTTTTCAAGTAACTGTCATAAACTATAACCAAACAGACTGCAGCTATTCTTTGAAAGCGAAGACGCCATAAACTTAGCTTTATTTCTGAACTTCAAATGAAAGCAGAGCTGCAGAGCTAATCGACAGCTTTAAAACATGCAATTGGCAAAAAGAACAAGAATTATGTCATAAAAAGGAAATATTTCAATAATTATAGTATTCTGTTATCGACGTCAATCTCTTGAACATTAATAATTTAAATGACTATAAAAGGGTAACTTTTTTTCAGTTAAAGAAGAGTAACCTTTGGAACAGATTTGCTACAATTACAAGATTGTTGGGAAATGTTTGTATTTCGTTTGCCAGGCTGTAAACGCCAAGGTATCATTTCTTTCGCTTTACAGAAAAATCGATCACCTAGTAGAACAGAAGATTATCTCCCATAATTCTTTTCACTACTAGATGAACATCATATCTTCATAGTTCTCTTCATCCTCCTCATTCACATAGGCAGGCGCTTTTGGCCCGTGATAATGGTAATGATAGTGAATTGGATGAGTATCACCTGATTGAAAGATATCAAAGAAAAATAGGTATTAGATAAATTTATATTGTAGTTTTATTTTTCCGATTAAGGTACCTGATTTAGCGTGATTTTCATTTTACCTATTATACATTCATTCAGGTCTTAATAAGTCTCATAAGTGTAGATACCTTTATCATTGAAATTATATGGAAAATTGCCTTTCTTTCTCGTGTTTGTTTTTCTCTTTTTCTTAATTTTAGCTCCCATAAGCAAGCTCTGATTACCAACGGGCTTGTTGTATTCTTTATTAAATTTGCATCTTTAGTTAGTTAAAGCTGCATCTGTTAAAAAAGTCTGGCAATTGTGAATGAGCACTACCACTGATACACGCAAACAATCATGCTCACTGAAGCACGTACCTTCCTGAGATGTCGTGACAAGAACGTTTGGAGCTTCAGGAGGAGAGGGCGAGGCTACTGGTGATGGAGCATTCGTTTGTCCCGGGGGCGGGGGAACGTGAACTGAAGAAACTGGAGGATGTGGATCTGGGATGCAAGGGGTGGCAGGCACGGGACACATAAACACAGGAGAAAGATGAGCCCCAGGTATAACGGGATTGGCTGGAACTGCTGTGGAGACACCTTGTGATGTAAAGTGCAAGTATCCATTAACACTTATAGGCTAATGGGACCATACTCCTTTGCCATTCCGTACAGGGGTTGTGGAAGAAATAGTGTTACCTAGCGAGATCTACCTTAACTAAAATTCACACTAATGTTGGTCCAGGTCCTGGCTTATAGCGTTGTCAGGATTTGTGATTCTACACTAGATAGTGGATGCCCAGTCATTTCTCAAAAAGTTTTCTTCACAGTTATAGTTACCAAATCAACTATGCAGCCTAAAAGAAAAACCTTAACTTTCCTTCTTTGTGTTGTAACTAAAACACGAGCTGAATAACTCCCTTAGTTTATATCTGAATTGCATTTATCATATCAAGATTCATACTTCGGCAAAATTAGCAAAGGAATCTATATCTTACAAGTAGGCGCAGAGCGATTACTCGATAATTTGTCTTGCGCTAGCATGCAGACTAAGTATCTTGTTACAAGTTCGTGTTTCGCACCAACATAAATCCTTTCTTCCCCAGCCTGTTTAAGCTGTAAAAATTACAGAATGCAGCCAAATTTTTATTAAGAAAACACTGAGCACTCCAACTCCAAAATTACGCCTGCTATGCAGATAAACACTTCTCTTGAAAACAAATAACAAATAACGAAACAACAACAAATTGCCATATCTTCGTGTGTCTGACTTAAGCATAAAAATCTAAGTGAACGGATGTTCGATTCTAACTTACCTGCTTGAGGTGGAGGACGTGGAGCCGCAGGCAGAGAGACGGGAGCTGATGGCGAGGGAGCGGGAAGGGGTGGCGCCGAAACCAGAGAAGACGAGGAGGCAGCGGCTTGAGTTCCTACTGAAGGAGAAGGTGCCGCTGATGCTGGTTGTGGTGCCGGAGCCGGTATTGAGGGGGATACTTCGGGTGGAACACCAGTTAAGTAATTATGATGGTAAGGGGGATGAAATGAAGACGGAACTGGAGTGCGAAAAAATAAAACGGAGATAGAAAGGGTTGCTTTTAAGTTGAGCATCGATGCATACTGTTGCTGCTGTTTGGTAACAATGATTGTGAAATTAAATGTTGTTGCTACACCGTATCACGATCAAGTACATTACTATTTGACTGTCGATTTCTTTTACGTTGCATTATTTGGGTTGAGTTTTTCCTTCCTAAAACAGTATAACAATGCATGTAAAAGTATTAAACCCAAATTTGTTCTGGTCAATTTTTATCGAAATCCGTTTTAAATCCACATGAATTTTTATCGTTCATTATGCCATTCGCCATATTTTTGCACTCTACTTCAAACTCACCAAAAATGAGGGAATCCCGGCTAAAGTTAAAATTATCCGAAATTCGTAATTTTGGCGGGCGAGTGCTCAGTATTTTCTAAGCGATAATTACAGCCGCCATCTTTTATTTTAATGGCAACGGAAGGCTGGGGAGCGAAGGAAACTTGTACCAAGGGAGTAAATATTATGCCTGTCCGAGGTTATTGTTGTCTTGCGAACCTTCGTTCGCCCATGAATGGAATTCCTGATTGGTTCTCTTAAGCTTTAGCTGTCAATCACCTGCGAAATATGTAATTTGGACGCTTCGCTCTCGGTGGGAAAATCGTCAAATGGATTAAGGGCAGTTACACTCAAGAATTGTCGCCTGGCGGGTTGAATAAACTGTCGCGAACTTCTTAACGAAATTAACTCGCCATAATAAGACGCCTGTATTGCAGGTTATACTTTTTTGACGCCAATCATTAATCTACGTATTGCATTGGGAACGAAAATATTAGTTGCTTATATATATTATTATAAGTGAAATCACCAAAATATCTCCTTTTGATCATACCTCGCTCTGCCGTAACAAATACGTCCTCGAATCGGGGACAATCAGCGACCACTGGCTTTGATATGCTTAAGCGTTCATTTAGAAGAATTCTTTGTTTTCTGGAAAGATCTTCGGCGTAGAATGTCACTTGACTATGCAGTTCGGGTCGATTTATTATCAGTTTTAATTTAAAGCTAGGTCCAATGACGAGATATCCCTCGTGTTTAAGAGACGAGTAAAGTTTAAATGGAGAACCAACTTTGTTAATGAAGTTTACCGCAACACACATCTCTAAAAGGGAAGCAAACATGTAATTTATCACAATTTACAATAAAAATACACCAATCTTACATCTTTGAAGAGTTTAGAGTGTCGGGTGTGATAACTTTAATATACGTATCCTTTACATTCCTTTCCTCAAAAAAAATCAATAGCAATATATCACACTC